CAATAATTCAGCAGGTTTCTCAAAACAAGCGCCCATCTTCAAAGAGAGCAACATTGATGGAGACCATTGAGCTAACACAAATGAGGAGTGGCATGTAGTTGTCAATAATGGAGAGAACGACCAAGTTGAGGTCATGAATGCTAATGGAAGATCTAAAGATGATGTCTTGAAGCATAAACCTTACATCCGTAATCCACTTTCAAATATTGTTGGACCTACAACTCGTGCTAGATGTAAGAGGATGACAGAATCACTTAATAGTCTAATTACTACAACAAGGACTAAGGAAGAAATTAAGCTTAAAGATTACAAGTCCAAGACTATTAATTTGTTTCAAGTGTCACCAAATGTACTTGGCCTATTTGGGAGGAAGGAATTTCGGCCCTCTACTCAAGGAGAGACCACCAGCCACATTCCTCATTGATAGGAGTCGAAAGGATCTAAAGTTTAGGGATGGGATCATTCAAAATTTATCTCTTTAAAAGATAAGACTTTATCGCTTTAAAGGAGAAGATTTGAGATGATTGCTTTTATCTTTTAAGTTTAAGTTTGTCTATAATAAGGAGTCAACTCTTTGATGTCTATTCAACCATTGGATGAATACTACATCAAGATTGATGGCTAAGATCACTCTACAAAGAAGATAATGCTAGAGTTTATGCTCAAGGAGGATTCTATCTATTCGCATGGAATGAGTCTTTTTCAAGATTATCTCTTTGTATTTGAGTTTTAATATTCTTTCCTACATAGACTTAAAGTGTCTTAAGTCTATAGAAGTGTCTAGGTTCATTATCTTATCACTTAAAACAACAAGAAGTCTTTAGAGTTTGATTTGATTTCAAATTCATAGAGATAGGAATAGAGTTGAAGAGTTGTGTTCTTCTTCTACTTCGTAAGAAAAAATTTGGCCACCTCCCTCTATAAATAGGGACCGAATTTCCTTTGTTCAATACACATTGTCATTGATATTTTCTGAGTGAAATCAGATTGGTTAGCATTTTATTCTTTTCGTGGAGTTCTTGTGAGGACTTCTTTGTTTAGTTGTTGCATATGTGTTGTGACAATTATTAGACTTATCTATCTCGTGTAGTTTGCTTGATAGTGGCATCTTTAGCATTGGATCTTTTGAATTCTGGTTCTTAAGCTCATAGATTTTATATCTATTGGGTTTTCTTACTCAATTTTCTAAAGGGGTCTTTGCTTGGTTAGAAATAGCTCTCTTCATTCTTGATTTGGGTTGTTCTGCTATTGAACTCATGAATTGATCGAGTTAGATCAAATATCTTTTTTTTTGTTTGTTTTCGTGTATTTTTGTGTCATTCTACATCCGAATTCTCCAAATTCCGCTGCCTACAATCTCTGTCTTTCCGAATTAGCAAAGTTGATCTTCTATCAAGATGGGTTTTGTCACGGATTGCTATCAAACATGGATTCAGCTTCGACACATAAAAGCATTTGACTCAATGTACTTACATATGTAATTGGAAGACTACTTCATTATTAGATTTTATTTGATCATCTTATAACTTCAAATACTCATTGGTTAATCCGAACTACAATTTAATTGTGCAAGAGACTATTGAGAGGAGAAGATCAATTACGCGAGAAATAGTTTTTTTTTTTTTTTAATCAAGAGAGAGAGGTTAAGTATAGAAGAATTCAAACTGAACTTGGATGGTTAATGGAAATTTTTCGGTTTATTGCCTTAGATTGAACATTTAAGCAGCAAAATGATTTTGTAAAAAATTTATGGATTTGATGTTGGAGTTGCAATAAATTAGGTTTTTCTTACATATTTTTTTATCCTTGATTTTAGTTTGTAAATGACATCCTTTTTGATAGTGTATTTTTGGCGCAAAATAAGCTTTTATGTAGCTACCACATGGCTTAAGTGGCAACTGCTTTCAATAGGTAACAATAGATTCTAATATTTCGTCCAGATGAAAATGTAAAAGAGAAATTTTTTTGCCAATATTTCAATTTTCATAAACATTTTTAGACACTTTTTATTATTCGTTATTAAGTTATTTGTCTCGTGCAATGTAAATAATATATTAAAGCAACTTAACATGATTTTCTATTTGAGAAATTAATGGTGGAGTACAAAAGAATTTTACAACGTATAATGTTTGAAACTGCTGGCAACAACAGGGGTTTATTGTTCTTTTACAGATACATAGATATATGAAAAATATTCATAAAAATAATATTATCAGCTGCTATTAGCTGTAAAAGTAAGATTGTAGTTACAGTGGCATTGACAAACACTGCATCTTTTGTAGAAGGTAGAACTGGACATTCAAAATTTTTAATCATTATAAGCATTCTTGAAGACTCAATTTGCACAGTAAAGCCTGTCAAAATATTTACTCAGGTCATGTTGCTCAGAGCTATAGACAAGGTTTTGAGTTAAATGGTACAAGGTTTTGAGTTTTGATACTGTAAAAACATATCATTCAAATAAAGGTTCCTTGCGTAAATATATACATATATATATACATATATATAGATGAAGTGAAATTATTTATTACTATTTTATGAATCTTATATGAAAACAAAAATGTTAATTATAAAAAATATAATGGCTTCATTCATATTTAAAATATAAAATACAAAAAAAAAAAAAACAAAAACACTTTACGATATAAAGATGGTGATACTTTATTTAACATTAGGCGGAATGTTAAGAACCCCCTCCCCCTCCCCAAAAAAAATACAGATTCAACTTCAAAATGAATAATCATGTCTAGCAATAGACTATATTTGTAGTTTTGGCATTGCTATTACATTATTACCATCTTGATCATATATCTGCACCTTTATTTCTTAACTTGAAGTAACTCTTGATAAGGTAACATATCACTAGATTTTCCCCCGTGCGTTGCACGGAATACATTAAAAAGTATTATCAAAATGATTAGTAGTTGTGAAAAAAAATACTACGTACTCAATTAATGGTTGATTATGAAATAGAATATAAAGAAAAACTGATGATACAAATAATAAGCAAACAGTTAAAAATTAGGTAAAAAAGGACGGTTGAAAATTAAGTGATATTAATATTATTATAATTTAAATTCTTTTGAAATTAAATATAAGAAGATTGTTTTACTTAAATTTTCTTCGTAATTTTACCCATTAGATTTCAACATTTTTTAATAAGATGGATATAACAATGATTGAGTTTGAATGTAAGAAGAATGCCTTGGATTTTCTCTTCATTTTACCCGCGAAATTTCAAAAAAAAATTTATTTTTATTTTTTAAAAATATTGGCGTTAGAGTGATTCAATTTGAATATTAAAATTTATTTCATTTGGATCTTTTTTGTAAGTTTACCCTTGAAGTTTTAACCATTTTTTTTTACCATAAACGGAGTCAGTTTTTTTTTTTTTCTGAAAATAAAATATTGAATTAGAGCACACATAATTGAAATTTATCGATCTGACAATAGAATGAACTAATTTTTTCTATATATTTATAACAGTAACCTGCTTTTATGTATCAATTGCTTCGTGCTTCTAATTCTACCATTGTGCACATCTATCGGGAAGTTAAAAGTATGGTGGACGCGTTAGCTAAATTGGCTTCAAGCAGAGTATCAATTTAATATAATACATCAGAGGAACTCCCCGCTTCAATTAGAGGTAAATAGTTTCTAGATAAGTGTTATTTTCCTTATTTAAGGATTAGATAGGGCTTTAATGGAATTGAACAAACTCGTTGTAGAATAGGAAGAATAGAAAAGAGAAGTCATAGGGTCTATGTTTTAACCTTTATAAGACTTCCTCTTAATTTTTGTAGTATAACATAGAGATGCCATGAGATTATAGTATAATCTTTGTGAGCTATTCTCTTAGCTTGTACATAGAGCTGTCATGAGATTTTAGAAAATCTTTGTACGACAGACTTTTTTTTTCAGTAAGTCTTAAGTATTGCCAGTATAATTTTTTTCTTAATTAATAAAATCAAGGGATGCCCGCCAGGTATTGTCCTGGTTCTCTTAAAAAAAAAAGACATTTTAGAGGGAAAACTTTTAATCATAACGTGACACTTCTGCATTTTTCTTCTCTTGGACTTCTCTTTTAATAGTATATATTGATTGCCCGTGACGAAAAACTGGAGGCAAATAGTATCCCCACATATAATAAATATTGATCTTGAGTTTTATTTATTGTCATTGAAAAAGTAAAATGGTTTAAGTGAATTGCATTTTCTTCATTTTAAAGAGACAATTTGTATCAGAAGATGGGCAAAATGACATTTGAGTTATATTTACAATATCTCTCACGTTGTTGCCCGACATTTTATCTAACCAAACCTGTTTTCTTGAATTTAAATTAAAAATGCAATGGAGGAACTACTTTTTCTTCCCTTCCCCTTTAATAATATCAACTTTTATATATAATTACATCTTAGTAATTTCACCCGTTTATTCATTTAATTGAGTTTCTTTTTTTTGTTTTATTTATTTAGTAATTTATTTCTCCTTAATTTTATGAGTTTTTTTATGAGTTTTTGAGATTTTTTATTTAAAATTGTAATGATGAAAAATATATTTCTTTCCTTACTCTTAATAGTATTGTTCAACTTTTTTTTTCCATTCATTCTTTTTAAGTCCTTTTCATGATTATTGGCACGATCACTTTCTTTGTAAAGGTCTCACATTTTTAACTCTCACTAATTTTTCTTATCAGAACGACCTTTTAACTAATAGGTATAAAAGGATAAAATAAGAAACTACAATAAATGATAAAATAAGGGAACATCAAAGTCCTAACTTTGTTTTAATACGAAGGAATTCCGTATGAACTGGACTGTTGTTATCCAGGAACGAAATAAAAACTGACTCAGCATTCACTAAAATAGTACTCCTAGTTGACACCTGCTACATACATTTCTCAGTTCAGTGGTTGTGCACACTTGTTACTTACCACGACTTACGTTCTACTGTTGGGGCTTGAAGTTGACTCACAATTCAAGCAGCTTAAATTCGAGGCCATGGCTTTGATTCAGGGGAAATGGGTTAAGGTTAGTTCAATTAATCCTTATTCTGATTTTTCCTAAATTTTGACCTTATTATGTGTCTGGGTTCATCTGAATTGCAATTGGATTTTGATTTCCATTTAAGCCCTTTTTTCAGTATCGGAATTTTCATGTAATTTGTAGGAGTTAATTCGGCAAATTTGATTGATTTTTGTCTTTTTCTTTTTTCTTTTTTTGTTGAGATTTCGTCAATCAGTGTCAAACTCAATCAAGATCATGACTTTTTGTTGTCTGTTTGTGTTGGTATGATTTTTCTTGCCACTTTTGACCGGAAGGGAGTTCCTGTCCTATAGATGTCTGATTATTTTGCTAATAGGTTGACTAACTGTTCTGTTTCTGATGAGGGGAATCATCTGTAATTTTGGAATATGAATTAAGGGTTCAATTGAAATATACTTGCAGGTTGATCAGAAGGGAATTGGGCCTGGAGCAAGAAGCTCACATGCCATCACCATGGTTGGGGAAAAAGTTTATGCCTTTGGTGGTGAATTTACCCCAAGAGTCCCTGTTGATAACAAATTGTATGTGTTTGATCTCACTGAGAAAACATGGTCAGTGGCAGATGCAACAGGGGATATCCCTCCGCCCCGTGTTGGTGTCGCCATGGCGGCGGTTGGTGACAAAATTTATGTGTTTGGAGGTAGAGATGGAACTCACAAGGAGTTGAATGAACTGTATTCGTTTGACACCAGCACTAACAAGTGGACACTTCTTTCCAGTGGCGAAACCGGCCCACAAAGCCGCAGCTACCACTCCATTGCGGCTGATGATCAGCGAATCTATGTGTTTGGTGGTTGTGGTGTTTCCGGCCGGCTAAATGATTTATGGTCTTATGATGTAAGTGAGGGGAAATGGATCGGATTTCCAGTGCCTGGAGAGAATTGTAAGCCTAGAGGAGGCCCTGGATTGGCATCCTCATTAGGCAAGATTTGGGTTGTGTATGGTTTCTCAGGACAGGAGCTAGACGATGTTCACTATTTCGATCCTGTCCAGGAAAATTGGACCGAAGTGGAGACAACGGGCAATAAACCATCCGCCCGGAGCGTGTTTTCAATCCTTGCAATTGGGAAGTACATATTTGTTTATGGCGGGGAGATAGATCCAAGTGATTTAGGTCACTTGGGTGCTGGGAGATTCGCGGCAGACGGGTATGTTTTGGATACAGAGAAACTGGTTTGGGAAAAACTGGAGGATGGGAAAAATGGTGCTGATGAGCAGGAGCATCCAGGGCCAAGGGGATGGTGCGCATATGCAGGTGGGAAGCTGAATGGTGAAGAGGGACTGTTGGTTTATGGAGGCAATTCACCTAGTAATGATAGGCTTGAAGACATTTTCTTCTTCTCTCCAGCATTTGCAACTGGAAACTGATTGGGTCTTTTAGCCTCATGTAATGTGCAAAAAAAAAAAAAACAATGTTTGCTATGCTTTTCATTGTGATCTGGACTGATGAATGTAAGGAACGTGGTGAAGCTTGTGAATTTTATGATCTCTGCATATTTGTGGAAACGACGAGCTACATTCCTGGGAAGAATCTCTTCTGAAAACACTACCAGGTAAATGGGGCCCAAAAACAGCATAAGCAAAAACAAATGTCATCGGATTGCATATTTGCTTGAATAAGTTAATGATGAGAGTAAAAGAAAGATTTAACTCTAGCAAAGCTATGGAGATGAACAAACAAACCCCCACCCACCCCCGGTCGAGTGGCTTATTAGCCAATGTTGCCGAGATATTGTAATGATTAAAAATAATGGTTGAAAGAGTTTTCATCTTTTAAAAAATATTTATCTGACTCGGATTCTGAATTAGTCAGGATAATATATTCTCAACCCCTTGTTTTATATTCATCAATGATTAAAGTACTTGTATCAACTGAATTATCTGGCTCGAACCGAAGAATCTGAGCAATGACTTTGACTTCAGTTGTGTAATAGTATTCCAAAAGTGCCGATCCCGGTTTGACGGAACCGGTTGAACGGTTCAGGTCCGGTTTAGCTTTTTTTTCTATTTTCTTGTTCAGTTTCTCCATTCTCAGGCATCTCCCTCGCTTCTTGTTTCTCTACTTTATATTCTTCACCTCTGCCGCCAAATCGCCGCTGCCGCCGCCACCACCAATATCACCACCACCGCCACCTCCACCTCTTTTTGGCCGGCTTAGAGTATCGCTGCACTAGGGCTATCAGCCCTGTTTTTCTGAACCCGAAACTTGTTGCTGAAAGACTGTCATACGCAATCTCCCTTCTCACAATCTGCATTCTGTTCCGCCCCGACGTACTTAACCGCTGTACTCAGCAACCAGCTGACTCCGAAATTCCATACAGGTTTGTCTTCATTACCATTTTTTTTCAAAAACATTATAGCTTTTGATTTGGTACGCATTGCCAGTAACAAAGCATTTGATGACTTTGAGCTATATGAGAATATCATTTATCTTAATTCTTCTATTACAACGGACCATTTTGTGGATTTTCTGCCCATATTGTAGGTTTTGGTTCCTCTTGTTTGAAGTAATACTTTGATTTTAAGTGTATCATAGTGTCAGTTGCATTGATAATCATTGTGGGGTTATCTCTTCATATTTTTTTAGTGCTTTAACTATTGATTTATGTGCTTCATACCATTCAGTGTTCTTGCGAGTAGACATTAACTAAGTAATCAACAAAAATGAATGTGACTTTTTTCGGTTTTCCTGCTTAATGGAAACAGAGAGGGGTATATTAAAGATTACCGAATAGCGTGTTTACTCTATTGGACATATAAACGATCTATTATACCCTTTTCAATCGCCAAAAGTATGTTCATTTCCTTGATGATAATCATATTTAAGGGGGTTTTTCTTCATATGTAATGGTGCTTTAGTTATTGATTAAAGGTGTTCCCTACATTTTTCTTCTTCTTACAAATAGTTAGTGTTTTAAACAAGCAACAAAGGATGAATCCGGCTTCTTGGCTTTAACCTTAGCGAAAAAACTAGAGTGGTATTAAAAGATCATACCCTCTCCTATGCATAAGGCCGAATATTCCGGCCTTATAAATGGGAGCTGAGGGAGTACAAAGATTGTGTTTACCTTCTTGGGCATAAGAAAGGGGTTATCTGTCCTTTTTTCCTTCGTAAAAAGTTTCATTCTAATGTGTAGCTGGCTTATTTTTTCTCTTTATCTTAATTTTTCTGGCTTACTGAAATCGTTCTTGTTGTATGGGGTGGAGACGGCAATTGAGGTGTAGGAGTATTATAGCTCTGGGATATGAATGGCCACATTTCTCTCCAGATACTACTTCTTCCAACTGTCTCCCAATATCATTTGGTTAGCTTTTCCAGAGGTCAATTTATGAGACTATCGTAAGGGTATTTAGTGAAGATAGAATGTAATGATTACTTCTGTTAAAAAGTTGTTAAAGGATGTAGAGCATTTACCCATTTGCTTGGCTTTGCTCTTGAGTTTGAAGTTTGTAATGCTTGAAATTGGTTTAGGCTAGATGATTAGTCAAGTAGGAGATACAGACCAGAGGGAGTTTTTGTTCTTCCTTCCTATCCTGAGATCTATTTCCCGCTGCTTTGGTCGGGAACTAGATAGTAAAGGCTTGCTATTTAAAAATTCCCCAAACATTAATTTCTTAGGTAATCATTTTTTTATAATGTAAATATGCTGGGAGTATAATTTAAATTGAAATGTGGAGGATTATTTTTCATAACTTAATCCAGCTTGACAAGAAACCAAGAATCGCAGAATTGCTCGTGCACTTACTGATGCTCTGCTTGGTAAATTGGTAACTTTGGGTGGGATTGAACTCTGAAAGAGGGGGTTTACTGAATTCCGATTTTGTGCTATTCTTGGGGCTGCCTTGTAGCCCTTCAAATTAGAGTTTGGAAATATTAAAAGGTTTCTGAATTTTGTATTGCAGAAAATTTTTGTTAATTTCTTGAATTTTCTTTTCATGGAGATTTGCAACTAAACTTTCTGAGTGGTATCTTTTTGGTCAGATCCCAGCGAGCGTGAAGAAAAAATTTTCTTACGGACACAGTTAATGTTCTAGTCCCAATTTTAGATGGCTACATCTGCTGCTTCAAGACTAATTTGGGGTATTTGATTATTTCTTTTTCATTTTTTATGTTTACTTATTGCAATTTTTTCTGCTTGTTTTGAGGAATTTTGTTAGTTGTGGATTGAAGAAGTTGTTGAGCAGCTCCCGCAGATGTAAACACCTTTTCTTTTAGGCACAGATATCGTCACTGTGCCTTAGAATCTAGGATCGGAAATCTAAAATCTAGGAACTTCCTGCTGAGTAGCATTTTTTTTTTTTTTTTGAATACCACTGACAACTAAAATTCAAACAAAAGATGGCACCAAAAAGTTCCTCTCTGAAAATTCGGTTAAAACACTGCTTCAAGTTCTGAAACTGGCTGTGCATCTCGCGAAATTTATAAAACCAACCTTTGGCCTTGGGACTTTCTTCACTGTGCCTTTCATATACTTTAGTATCCTTTGCAGTTCGCTTCATTGTGAAAGTTTGCTGTCTTATTGATACTCAGTTCTGGACTGCAGTAGATGACCTGATTAAGGAAATTTGAATAATATAAACATTTGGCTTGTGTTATAGATGAAAGTTATAGAAATAGTGGCAGCCATTAAGATTAAGAAGCTTTATTCCTTGTGTGAAAGATTTGTTGCAAATTGAAATTTGAACGTTTGTACTAGTATCTTTAATTGCAATTGTTTTTACTCTGATTGTTCTGTTTATCTCTGTATTTCTGTATCTCAAACATATTTCTACAGCGAATTTTGTTGGTTTATCTTTTCTGAAATGTCAATTTATTGAATCTAGAATGCATTAGCTGCCTTGAATGGAATGTTGCAAAATTCTGAGTTTAGTCTTCCTGTTCCTCTAATCTTTTTTTCTCTCTTTCATCTGCTTCACCTTCATAAACAACTTCAGCTGGTGGTTCATTGTTGGGGAGCATCAGCAAGAATCCCGGTGAATTAACTAGAACGCCATGTGACATCTCCACCCCCCAATATTGCTCTCAGGTTAAGTTCCTTTCACTTAGACCCTGCAGAACTTTCATTAAGCATTTACATTTAAACGTCAAGTGACAATATTTTAGCAAATTGATAAGATAATCTATAAACAATACGCGGACTGCGTTCTGGAAGTTTTGCATTAACTACACTAAAGGATGGGTTGGAAGACGAAAGCATCATTTCTAAGTGTGAATAAAATTTGTGATTGGTGTTCTCTTCTCTAAGAAAGCGTGCTATGTGTCACAGCAATTCAGGACATTTATACAGATGAGGACCAATCTCAAAGTAGTGGACAACTCTGGGGCAAAGAGGGTAATGTGCATACAGGCATTGAAAGGGAAGAAAGGAGCAAGATTGGGAGACATGATTGTCGCATCGGTAAAGGAAGCTCAAGCTGGAGGAAAAGTGAAGAAGGGGCAAGTCGTGTACGGGGTCGTGGTTCGTGCAGCCATGCAGCGAGGGCGTTGCGATGGAAGTGAAGTGAAGTTTGATGACAATGCGGTGGTGCTTGTGAACAAGCAAGGGGAACCAATTGGAACCAGGGTGTTTGGGCCAGTCCCACATGAGCTGAGGAAGAAAAAGCATGTCAAAATTCTGAGTCTGGCTGAGCATATTGCGTGAGGTCTGTGGTCCTTTCCATTGTATGTAACTTTCTGGAATTCTCTTGGTTCCCTTTTGAGTTCACCCCACAGTGCCATAAATGCCTCTGTTTAACAGACAAAAGCGGTCATTATTTCCAGAGGAATGGACAATTTTAATTACGCACTATTTATCAGTATTCACAATAGCAATTTATTCTTACTTCGTTGGTGATTTCAGTTATTTTATGTCAACATCTCGCGGTAATTGAACTGAAAGCTACAGCTAGGGTTGGAGTTGGTACTGCTGGAGCATTTTAGAGTTTCTATCTGTAGCCTTTTGGTTTCAATCTTGCACCAACTATGTCCCAAAAATGTCGCAATCATTTTGGGTTAAAAGGAGTATCAAAAGTGTTAGAAGTCTTCTGGAGAGATTAATTCAGAAGGCGTTTAGGTTCGAGAGTATGTATGTAGTTTTTCTCTTAGATGACTTTTGTAGGACCTCTTTTGTTTTCTCAGTGAGCAGTGATAAATAAGCTCCTTTCTTTTATAGATTGATCAGTTCGGTCCCTTCAACTGGCTTTAGCCCCCACAGAGGTACCAAGTAATTAAAAAAATAATAATAATAAAATACTCGGTTCGAAATTTTGATTTGGTTGTGTTATTTTAATTCAATAAGATGTGCTAACATTATATTATCTAAACTGATGAAGATCAGTGAAGATGAAAAGTAGGGGCAAAAGGAAAGATTTAGTGCATGCTTCGAAAATCCGAACTGAGAATCTGGGGCAAAGAATTCTTTACTTTATTTCTTTACTGGACAAGAATAAGAATCGATCCGAGTTACACAAACTTCCAATGTTGGGTTAAAGTGAAAAAGAAGAGGAAACCCAAGGAGCCAACATTCTTCCTATCTTTCAATCTTGTACTACATTCGGTGATGCAATAAAAATAAATGGTGATGTGAATAAATTTAGATATCACTGTCTTAAGTAAAAATTGTGATTTTTTTTTTCTTTGTGCAAATAATAATGAGTATATATATGAAGAAGCCTAAAGACAATTGTACAATTACATTACGCGTGTACGTTTGCAACATAATAAGGTCATGGAGAAACTAATAAGAAAGAAACCAGATTTGCGGTTCAGACAGAGAACAATAAAATGACGGAAAGTCTCTAATTTAAATCCATAAATTGATGAAACTCTCACTCAGAAAAATCTTAGATCGTGAACTAAAAATAGAAATTGATAGCGCGAAAGCGAGAGGCACCCGCCGCTCCCGGATTCAAAGCTACGGCGGCGTCGTCATGACTCATGTGTCACACAGTGTGGGTTTACACCGTTTTTCAGCTCATAGCCCACAAAAAAAACAAAAAAAACAAAAACTTGAAGTAATCGTTCAAGAAAATTCGTAGTAATTCTTGTATTATTTTCAAACGGAAGCAAAATGAGTTGTGTGCTTGGGTTAGTAATTTAAATACTGCTTCAGTCCCGAAATTATTGTCTAATTTGGATTTTTGTTCTAGTACATATTAAATTAAATGTAAAAATTCAAAAAATTTTATGATAAAGAAAGTAATAACAATTACGAGAACTTTTTTTTTTTTTGAGAAGAAAAATTTTATTCATACGTTGGAAATCGTCTAACTGCGTTTGACAATACGAATAAACAATTACATGAACTTTCAATACAAATAATATTACTCTCTCTGTCCTAAAATTATTATCTAGTTTGAGATTTTACTTTTAGTACAATTTGAATTAAAAATAAAAATCCAAACTGAACAATAATTATGGGACGGAGGAGGGCAAGTAACAATACTCTGGCTCTTTCTTTTTAGTTTGAATTTGTACTTTATAAATAACACACTGTTAATACATATGCCCGAAAATTACGTCGAAGACTAACAATTATTATTACTAACCGAAAAAGGAAAAACAAAAAAAGAAAGAAGACAAAACAAATACACAGAAAAGGCGCATAACAATTATACAAAAAAAAAAAAAAAAGAAACTTGAAAAGAAAAAACAAATTGTCAGCATGCAATCCTGACAACTGGTTTCCACGTTGATCCACCTACTAAGGAGGGCCCCAAACCATGTAGAATTATACACTACTGTCTGTCTATCAATCTCCCACAATTTAATTCAAAGTGCCCATCGACGACCACATGATATGGGTCATACTCATATGAGAGGGCTTTAGAAATAAAGGATCTGTTGCTTTTATTTTTTAATTTTTTTTTTAAAAAAAAATTTGTCTAAAACAAAGAAAAAGTGCACACAGTCACACAGTGGCAAATTGCTTGCAGAATGCCAGATTCTCAGACCTCTCGCTCTCCCTTCCACCGACACTAGTCCACTACACCCACCCATTCATTCAGAAAGGAGGTCGTGATTTTGTGAGTCAAATTAACGTTAATAATGATGGATAAGCATGACTGATGCCTGTTTTATATACATATATATATATATATAGAGAGAGAGAATAAATCTTTTTTTTTGCATATTTATATATAGAATAAATCTTATATTACAAATTTATTACATAGAGGAAATGGGTAATTAAGCGGTTCGAATTATCTGTGGCCTTTTTCAGTGTTAGGGTAATATGAACGGATCTTTTATACAAATTTGATACTAATAATACGGTAAATAATGATAAGTAAACAAAATATGTGGATGAACTCTAGTCTCTGAAGATGACCGATGACAAATGTCAAATACAGTATTTATAAGGAGATAATACTGTACGTAATTTTTATTTTTTTTAAAAAAAAAATTAATTGGATCTTGCTGTCAGAAATGAGATTTTATTTTAGTATTAATTCTTTTTTAATCTTTGCATGAGATTTTTTAATTTCTTTTCTTCTGAGGTTGAGATTTCTTAAACTTTGAGCCACTGCTTTGCTTGTCAGCGCGCAATTGGTCCAGAGATTTTCATTTGGATTGATTAGTAGATTAGGATGTTTAAATTTAATGAATGGATTCCTCGTTTTTGTTTTTGTTTTTGTTTTTTTTTTTTTTGGTTTGCGCAGCTCATTTCTTAATCTTCAATGTCAAGTCTTATAGTGAAAATGACCATAATCACAAGGAACTATATTGAATAACAAGATTCGGCTTTATTTGTTTTATTTTTTGATGGTATTTTTAAATTAAAATATTACTAACTATCTCATTCCAACATACCTTTTTATATTTTCAATACACTTTTTTACATTCCCAATACAAAAAACACCTAAAAACACCCACTTAAAAAACAAAACAAACATATCCTTCGTTTTTTGTCAATTGCCTGATACACGAAAAATAATAAATATTTCCTACCCATGCATTACAAAAAAAAAAAAAAGCTACAATCATTTGGGAGAGATTATTTCATGATTGAGCAGAAAATAATAAAAAACTCGAAATCTCTAACATGAAAAATTCAACTTCAAAATACAAATTCTCGAAAAGAGAAAAAAAAAAAAAACAGTAACAAAAAAGAAAGAAATTATGTATTCAATTTTCACACAAAAGAGTACAAAAAAAATTTCACCATTGTGGACTAACTCGTACAACAAACTACATGTCCAAATCTACACCATACAATATCCCAAAACCAAGCTCAAAACCACCGACATCAGCCATATTCCACCACCACTTACCCTCACTGATCCGTTATCACTCGCCGTCGCGTCCGCCGGAACGCTGTCGTCATCGCCGGCGGGTCCCGGAGCATCGGCGGAAGCGTCCTTACTCTTGGAACCCTTGGAGGCTTTCGGAGCCGGGGCACCCGGAACCGATTTGAACAGCTGGTGGGGCAACAGAACTTTGTCGATTTTGAAAACAGCCAACGGATCCTGATCAATCAGAGTTCCGGTGAGGGTCGCCGAGTTGACTTCCGTCGAGACTACCAGATCTTCCCCGTCGGTTTTCACCGTGAGATCGAACTTGTTCTTGCCCTCCGTCGCCAGAGTATTGAGAGCCCCATTCTTGGATTTCAACATTCCGAGCGAATTGTAGAACGGGATTCCGTGGTAGAGCAGCAATGTTTGCTTGCCGTCGTTGGTTAGGTTCTTGTAACTCTTCATGAACCCGTTAATTGCCTCATCGGAGGGGCAGAAGACGGTGATTCCTCCGGCGGCGTTCTGGGTAAACGTCTCCTCTGCTCCAGAACTCTGTAACAAGTCCGCAAAGGCTTTGCATCCTTGTTTCTCCATCAAATTGGTCACGTTCATGTCCGCCGGAGCTCCCACCGGAGCTTCAGCTTCAGGGGATGATAAGACATTGCTAATTTGGAGGACGGCGATGTCGTACGACACCTCGTCGAGGGACTTCACAAAAGTGGCACTGAAGGGGCCGTAATCCCCTTCATAGTCCGCCACCGAGAATCCCACTTTCCCTCCCTTTGCGTCGGTGATTTTGACGTACCCGGCGGTTCCGGCGGCCTCGCCAGTGGCTTGGAACAGGGTGGAGACGGTGGTGGAGCCTTTGCTGATCTGGTGGATCTTCTTGGCCCCGAAATAATCGGCGAAGACGTGGAGGGAAAGGACGTTCTTCAGAATCGGGAGGGGGAAGTGTTTGGCAAGGAGATCGGACATGCCGGCATTGTCCACCGCGCAGACGGTGATTGTTCGGCGGCGGTTGATCTCGTCGGCGAGGTGGGTGGTGGTCAAGTAATGGTTGAAAGTGGAGAATTCTGGGTGGCCAGCGAGAATGTGAGTGATGTTGTGTGCATTTGTGGTGGAAGAAATTGAGGCAACTAAGACAATAATCAGTACAAGTGGAAAAGTGGTGGCCGGAAGTTTCGGCATTTTAGCTCCGGCGAGTTTTGCTTAGCTGCTCGAGGTAGCCGGAACCGTTGAGAGTTTTGCGAACAGGAATTGAAGGGGGAATGAGGGGGAACTCAGAAGTGTTTGTGATATGTACTGGATGAAAAGAAAGTTTATATATATGTGGTTTTCTTTTTTTTTTTTTTTTTTTGGTTGAGTGTAACAAACAATTGTATACCAACAATTATTGGGATAATGGTAGATAGCTCATAGCTCAATTGTCCTCCCTTAAACATGTTTGAGTTCGAGTTTATCTTCATAGCTAATTAATTATTGCAAAACTGAAACCCTAAGTTCCTAATCCCAGACTAACTAATTCGTATCGATTATTTTAATTTGTGTAAAAAACAAATCACATCGAATATAACAATTAATTAGTCTGAATATGTTACACGTTCGATTAAAACACTTTGTGATTGTTCTATTTACTAGAAAAAAAGATCACTTATTAAAAGAAAAAATTTTGTGTTATATAAATTCAGTGTAAGAGTACATTTGTCAATAAAATAAACATCTCTGAATAACAAATATACTAGTAGTACTACTATTTTTCACATGAAATTCAGTGTAAGTTGTATTTGCATGCCGCAAGTTCAGATTATTGCATTAAATTAATCATTTTACTGTTGGATATCGAAGATTAATCCCAATTGATCCCATAAGATTAACCAAAACGAGAGAATCTACTCGAAGTTGGGGACTTTGGGTTGTTTCTTGCTTTCTTCCCCACTGACAAAGTTGTAATCTGTGAGTAATGCATTATGCATGAATAAGAATCAATTAAGGATAAAATAAGAAATGCAAGTAGACTTTAAAAAAAAAAAAAAATCTCAATCGAATTTCTTCTTTTGAATGCGAAAACTTTAAAACACAAGTAAAAGTAAACAAAAGGGAGTAGTTTGTTGACAAAAGAAACTTTGGCTCCACCTATAATAAACACAATAAAAATATTTTTTGGGCTTTAGAACTTGAAATTATTCCTTGCTTTTTGTGCTAAATGAGTGCAATATATGTTATGTGAAAAAAAGGTAAGTTCATTAACGATTTCTTTTATAAAATTTAAATTTAAATAACGACGATTCTTTATTGCTATTCTATTGTGATCATATCGTAAAGGTACAAAGGGGAGGGAGCCCATCCATGTTCATGTTCCTAATCAAAGAAATGACAAATCAAAGTTCACTAATTGTTTGTTTAGCTAGCCGCCTTTTTATGTTTATTATTGTAGCTAGGTACAACTCGTATGAGTAGCTAGCTACACTAAAACGATTAATTTACTGAACAATTCACCTATATTGTTATATTTTTTTTCCTGTCACGAAAAAATAACCTACTATTTCATTTTGCTTTTAAACTAAGTGTAATTTGGCTTACACGATTAGTGGGTCGATTTAGCCTTTTCAAAACCCGGCTCCCACAACTTCACTTTTCTCTTAAGATAAATAAATATATATACATATATATATATATATAAAGAGATGAAATCCTATAATCAACTCTTTTTATCTTTGGGTATCTTATTATGTACTATCTATCTCTACTCCTTATTATAAGATATTTTACTTATGCTTAATTTTATTTAATTATTTGAGAAAAGAAATTCGTGATTGATTGGTGCATTATTGTCTAACTTAAGGAAATTTTATTTCATCTAGACATATTAGATCATAATAAATTATTCGTCCATCTTAGAAAGTAGATCTGTTCTACATTACCAAACTGTCAAAGAAAATGACGAAGAACCTTGGGGTATGTTTGGATTGTTTTTAGTGTGTGTTTTTTTGTATTAGGAATGTAAAAAAATGTATTGAAAATGTAAAAAGGTATGCTGGGAAGTGACAGATAATAATAATAAAATATGAAAAAACCATAAAAAAAAACCAACCAAAACAGAGCCTTAAAGTCCTAACCCCCTTAAATGTACGAATTAATTATGTCGCAATTGTCACCCGTGATTGAAAATTCATGAAGAAAAATGTGATATTCATTTTTGCCAATTAAAGTGTCGGTTGATGTTCTCTTCACTACAATTCTGCTTTGATATATGCTTCAAGGAGTGGTTAGATTTTTCATGACAGATTTTAGAATAGAATGTCGCTCTCTATTATGGCTCTAAAGAGTTCGGATTGCAGCTGTGTCCTAATTGGACATGCACACCAAATCAATAACATAAATATTTAAGAAAGGATCGTGAATTATTTAATTAAATAAAAGATCGAGTGTTTCACAGTGCTTTTCCTCAAACTACAACTGTAACGTAAAGAGTTCGATGTTGATACTTTGCTTCTCCAGACGACTAAAAAGGATTAATCAATCTACCGTTCTCTCGTCCTAAAATGAAAATCATAAAACTTATGAAATTATATACATAATAAATTACAGACTTTTGCCTAATGACGGAAGAAATATAAATAAAATGTAACGTGAATTAATTTATTAGTGAGAGGAGAACATCTATTGTAATTCTAATGCATACCCTTAAAAACACTATTGTAGCTATATAATAAAAAGTAATAATTACAGTAATAATTTTCGTAACAAGTTACAACGTCTATCTCTATGTGATATTTAATTTTTTTTTTTTTATGTAGGACAGTCGGAGTATTGTTTAATTTTAATAAATTAGATCATTTCAAATTTTGGGAAGGTGAGAGTACCATATTAACAATTTCATGGTATTTGAAGAGGTCCCACTCCCATGAAGCCATGCAATTTCCAGACTGTCTATGTTGTTTTCATATTCCATCAATCAACCGAACAAATCCAAAGAAAATAACAAATTAGACTATACACACCTGTGATCTGTCTAATGATCCTACGCATCATAATATCTGATGATAAGTGATTGAAATACGGAGAGACAGTATTTTATTTCTTACTGCTTGTGTCCGTTCTAGTTATTTATTTATTAACTTTTTTGAGACTTTGATTTCTTTTATTACGCTTTATCTGTCTCATAAAAATAATTGTTATGATAATATAGTCAGTACAATTTACAAAATACAATGTATAAAAACAGAAAGAATACAAAAAAAAAATTAATATGATATTAGCCCACTAATCATTATAGTGTTGTTTTTATTATTATTTTTTTTTTGGTACGGGGTTTGTTTTTACTTGGTCGTATATAGTGATTATTCAAAGTCGTCAGGAAAAGCAATGTGTATGCGATCGTTTTAAGCTGGCATTGTTAACGTCGGCAATTTGTTTAGAGTAAATTTAGTACTTTAGGAAGTACCTCAAAAATTTACTGGTTGGGATTAATTTTTTTTTAATGTATTTTTGTCCATGCAAAGGAAAAATTAGTATCATTTCGGACATGTATGTAATTTGAGAATCCAGAAGCCACTACGATAAACATTATTGCTCACGTCAGGGCGGCTCAAAGTTGAGGCGTCATTTTGTAGTTTAATTGCCATATTGCTCTAAAGTGATTTTGCAAAGATTAATTAAGCACTTCAGACCTAAGAAATTGTGGGTTAGAGCTAAAAGTTCGGAGTTGATCACTTGATTGTTTTGATTTCAGGTAAATATTAGCATGAGCAGAATTAGAGAAACAATATATACATTGCTTATCGTGTCAAGGATATCATCCTGTAAGCCTGCTCTAGCTCTCTTTCCAACTTGGTGAAGAAGATAATTTTAGCTTAAATACTTTGCTGAAATTAACACAGTTATGATTGATGTACGAAACTCTCCATTCCTGAAATATGTACCATATTTAATTCTGTTCGCAAACTGTGCTTCACCATTTTTTGTTAGATTCCAAGTTCTTGAGGTTTTCGAGGCTGCAAAGATTTATTATACCTTCAACCAACCCTTCTTCATCTTCTTGAGGCGAAAAAGAACATCCCAAGAACTCGACAAATTTCTTCACCGAAGATTGGACATCTTTTACTTCAAGAAACAAAACTTTGTTTGGGTCTCTTAAATTAATTTTGTCGAGGTCATAAGTAGGAATTGTAGTCACACATAGGTAACCGAGAGCATAAAATACATTTAATGAGTAAGTATATCTTGAAAATGGAAGAAGTAGATCTAGGGTTTTAATTCTTGAATTTCTTTGAAGAACGATTTACAGAGAGTATGTTAATGACTTTGTTTAGGAAAAATTGTCGTTCATAACCAAAACTTTGGGTCCATCCTATCTTAATGATTTTCGGTTAGTCAATTTTGTCCTTTCTATTTGAAATTTTTGTCAATTCCGCCCGTTTGGTCCAATTTCTGTTAATCTTAACGGAATTCCGTTAGTTTTTAACCAAAAACACCTCGATAGTTTCAAAAAATTGAAAAAATAACCCTAAAAATATAAAAATAAAAAAATAGTCCATTTTATTCATTTTTTATTCATTTTATTTCTCTTTATTACTTTTCATAACCATCAAAATATATTATATGATCTTTAAGAAAATAATTATTTATTTTCAAAATTTATTTTTCATGTGCAACACATGAGATTTGGGTTGAGGGTAATTTTGTCATTTTAAATTTTTAAAAATTTAATTTATTTTTTTATTTGCTATTTTTGGAGATTATTTTTCTTATATTTCCTGACTTGTATATATTGATACTAGTATAATTATTAAATTCAATAATTAATTTACCTTTTCATTTCATAGATTATAAAAAAATTAACACAAAGGAAATGAGGAAGAAAAAATCAAGTTGAAATAAACATGAAAATTAATACTTTATACTCTAAACAAAAATCAAAAATATCTTTAAAAAAAAATCTACAAAGACAAGTCTTTCCTCCTTGACTTTCTCTAATTCATTGTTGAGTTACGAAACAGAAATTTTACTTGATCTAGCCTAAAATAATTATTTTTGGTTAAAAACTAACGGAAATCCATTAAGATTGACGGAAATCGGGCCAATTGGGTGGAATTAACAAAAATTTCAAACAGTAAAGACAAAATTGGCTAACAAAAAATTATGAGGATAAATTTGACGATGGGTCCAAAGTTTTGGGTATGAACGCCAATTTTTCCACTTTGTTTACAAGTAAAAGATGATTAATTTGTACAAAGATGTCCCAATTAAATACTATATAATCATCAGCCGACTTAGCATTTACATATTTACAAGTATGCCCCTCGCTATTTACAAGTAAGTTGCCTAACAATGTTTATTTACAAACAGACCCCTGATCAAAGAAACTTTCAGCAGCACCATCTTGGATGAATTCATCAGTATATGATGCAATATATTGTTTGATTTAATTTGTGAACCATTATAATATACTATCTCTATTCAAAAAAATAATTCATATGGAATTTTCATATTTGTACTATTGTTTTGTACAATATTTAAAATTTAATGTAGATTTTCTTTTGGGGGGAGACAAAGGGACTAGCAAGTATATACTGTTATCAAAGATTAATCCTGGTCACCAAAAAAAAAAAAAAGAGAGACTAATCCAAATTGATCCCATAAGTTTGACCAAAACGAGATAATGTACATGAAATTGGGGGCTTTTTGGGTTGTTTAAATTGGAGGTTAATATTGCTCTCTACCATGCCAATGTGGGTTAAGATTGAAAATTGTGAAAGATGTGGGTTACATCATGTTATAGCTCTCTCTTCTTCATTATGCAATTTTCTTTTGTGAAATTTATGCAAGTTAGAACTAATGATAGTCTGTTTTATTTAGGGTGGAAGGATTTGGTTGAGTTGGGATGAAAAGAATAGATTGTTGGTATTCTGATTAATCGATGGTTCAGATTTTGTTGGGTCGTATTAATTAACTTAAATCAACTTTTTTCAATTAGTTTATCACCGTAAACGCCTATCTATTACTATATCCTAAATTCAACATACAAAATCATTACAATTGATAATTTTGAATAGTATACAAGCACAACTATTTTTGAAGACCATGCATGAAACAAAGTAAGAAAAACAACTTTTTTTTTTTTTTTTTAAGAAGCTGAGCCCAAGAGTGAAAAATTAAAATGTTACATGAATAAAATAAGACACACCAACGATACACATCATGTTCCAACCGCTGCAAAGTTCCCACAAGCACAAGCGGATGAAAAGACACATTTCTTGATTGATCCATAGAAAAATTAATTTACGGACGAACCTTCACAGTTAACCCCGATTTTGCAAACTTTTCGTCCATTAAACTTTCAAGGCGTTTAGCCATGGCAGGAGTGAAAAAACTCTCCCAACCGCCGATCTCTCCCTTCCTAAAAAACGAACTACTTTTAACTTTGATCACCATATGTGCTTCCCCTTTCTTGTTACATTCCAAAAGTTCCTGAGGTTTTCCAAACTGCAAAGCTCAAGAAAAACAAAAATGATCATCATAACTGCACCGAAAGAAAACTGAAACAGAAAGCAAGAAAGAAACTCTGAGTTTTCTGTTTTGAGAAAGAAAGAATGACCTCAATTTGATGATAATTAATTTGTACAAGTGTTGCCTATTTATATACAATTAGAGTCGGTTAGTCTTTGCTAAAGTCACCTATGAAAGACACAAATTTACATCACAGTTACTGCAAACAAATATATACAGTCATCATCATTGGGTGACAGCCTGTGTTTCTAGCAAAACTAATGTATGCTCATTAAGCTATGCGTGATCAACAAGCAATCGTTGCAATCCTCCCGGATCTTCTAGATCATTCGTGATTCCTCCTAAGTTAGCAGCAGCATGATACTTCAACAAAAGCCTCACAATATCTTCAACCAACCCTTGAGTTTCTTCTCGCGGCGAAAAAGGGCATCCCAAGAAACAGGCCAGTTTTCTTCACACAAGATTGGATATCATGTTGAAGATCCTCATATTTCAAGAAGAGGATTTTGTTTGGGTATTTTAAGCTCGCCTCGCAATATCCCATGCAGGATTTGATCCCAGAAAGGACCACATATGAAATGTTCCCTCACAAAAAGCGTCAAAATATTCATCCAAGGTTTAGATTCAGCTGACAACAGATCGTTTTTTAACAAGAAATACGCCAGAGAGGTAAATACATCCAAAGGGTTTCTACAAATATAGACAATCCGACAACCGGAAGCAGCATCCGAGATGGCGCTTGGAAGACACTGGTAAGGAAGATTTGTCGCAAAATACGCTATTGTTGTTGGACAATATTTGGGTTTTAAGGAGTTGGGTTCTGGAATATTAATGTTGTTGCCTCTTTGGTATAAATCGGATTCGAGGAAACGGATTAGTTGATGAGGATTGTGGAAGAGCAAAGGGTTTTGAGAAATGTTATTGGTATATTTGTGGCGGTTAGCAATTGAGAAAGTCAGGGCTTTAAGCCATGTGGTGCCTGAGTTGGGCATGGTAGCTAATATGATGTCTGAATTTTTGGTTTCAAAGTGTTTGTAAAATGTAAATATTCCATGAAGATATGGCTTAATGAACCAAAAGCCTTTGTGTTGAGCATACACATCGCCGGCGGTGCTTCTTTTAGGCAACTTCCCGTTAAACTCTTCAAATTCCTCACCTTCATATTTCTTCTCCTCCTCTTCCGTATATGTGGCTATGTAAGCTTTATCGAGTTATTTATTTGATAACCCAACTAGTACACACGATCAGAGAGAGAGATGAATTTATATCCCTCAGTTTTAATTTTTTGCTTTTTAATGTTATTTCACCAAAAAAAATACTCAATCTATGTATTTTAAAACAGAAAGAATATATATGTGGGTGTTATATATCAGTTTATTACATAGACTGTAGGTGATGTCTTATATAATTCGTTTCAATCAATCGATTCATCTATTATATGTTATTATACTTGGAAAAGTACATTAATGCACCAACATTTTTTTATACATAATAAAGATTGATTATAAGTAAAGGGTTAGTTGTGGGGGGAACGGGTAAAGAAAATTTTAGTACTTCAATTTTCTACTGTCTGGTTAGGTAGCTCTATTTTTTTAAATTTTTTTTGGTTAGCTAGTGTATACAAGAGTGTTAATGTTACACACCTTACTTTAATTTATCTCACCTGCCTCCTATTTTATATATGAAAATCAATTATTGGCTAAAATTTAATAAAATAATTAATTTTACATTTACAATCAATCAATAAGCTAAGGACTACGCCAACTTCCTGTGTTAATTAATTCAGTCACTTTTTGTTTCTTGACCTCGAACCTTTGTGTGTTACTGTCAGCAAGATTGGCATTGGGCACTAACATATATACTAAGTGTAAGCATGTCACAAGATGAGCTTAACGTATCCCAATTTTCATGTGAATTTGTAAATCTCAGGCTAGTTTCGTGCTCATAATAGCTTAAACTCCTTATCTGTGCCGGGTTCGAAATTTACACCTTGTAGTTGAAAAGTATACTGTTGTAAAATAATTTACGATTTTTAAAGTGGAATTTTTCTTGGAATGAAAGGAATACTATTGAAGGTACGTCATCTAATATGAACGAGAAAGTACTGCCCCGTTGTAGTAGTGTTTTTTTAAGTTTTAATTGTTCCTCAGTCAGTTCAAGACTTCAAGGTTCGATGTCTCCCACTCCACGCGCAGAGTGATTGAAGATGGATGGGGTGCTTTCAAGTTTGCCATTCTTTCCTTTTATTTAAAAGGACTATAACCACATGAGAAGATATACAATCTGATATTGCTGGCTTCAAAACAGTGATTGTAATTTGTGAAGTAACATCAGTATGTTGACTTCAGCTCCTGATTAGTAGTTGGGAAAGTTTCCTTTTTTCTTTGGTTTTTGTTTGTTTGGGTAATCATGAAAGTTTCATATTTAAATTAACACTTTGATTCTCATTCATCATCTGTTAGAACTTGGTGAGGCTACATATATTACACCCGGAATATGTAAAGAACACAGATTGAATCTGTTAGCAGCGCTTGAAACTAATGTATAACACAGATTACTTGTTTGCGACAGCAGACGGTATAGCTAGCTATCGGCCGTCATTAGCTATCAACTGCGAGAAAACTCTGCTGGTGGATATGTTTGAACTCCCTTCAGCAGTCTCTCTTTCCATCCAAATATTTTCTGCTGGAACTTGATGAATATCTCCAGCTGATGGAGGCTCCATTGTAACATTGTCAACCGCTGGAGATGGAGGAGTTCCGTTTTCTTGAAGCTGTAGGGCATGCTCTAAATTCCACAACACATCACCCATTGTTGGCCTATCTATTGCATAATCTGCCAAGCATTTCTCAGCTGTCTCACCAAACTTCTTCAAAGAGCTTGGTCTAATCTGCCCTCTAAGATGCGGATCGATAATTTGCTCAAGTAGCCCTTTCTTCTGCCACTCGATTGCCCATTCGCCCAGATTAACTTGCTCTCGCTCTAATGCAGGATCTACGGCAGGTCTGGCGCAGAGAACCTCGAAGAGTACCACCCCAAAAGAATAAACATCTGATTTATCCGTAAGCTGCCTTCTTCTGAAGTATTCTGGATCAAGGTAGCCAAAACTTCCTTTTACACCGGTGCTTACATGTGTCTCATTCAGACATGGACCGGACCTTGACAACCCAAAATCTGCTACCTTAGCAATATAATTTTCATCGAGAAGAATGTTGGTCGATTTAATGTCTCGATGAATGATCCCTTGTGCTGAACCTGTATGAAGATAGTGAATGCCCCTTGCTGCTCCGATGCAAATTTCAAGTCTCTGCTTCCATGATAAAGGCGATAGTTTTGGACCATACAAGTGGCTCTTGAGCGTTCCCTTCTCCATATACTCATATACAAGTATCATCTCAGACTGTTCTTCACAATAACCAACGAGCGAAACAAGATGGAGGTGCCGAATTTTTGACAAAATTGCAATTTCAGTGTGGAACTCCGGAAGTCCTTGCCTGGAACCAGGTACGCCACGTTTTACAGCAACTTTTGTATTGTCCTTAAGAATTGCTTTGTAAACCATGCCAAATCCACCCGAACCAATCATCACATCCTTATCAAAGTTATTGGTTGCCAAGGCTAAATCAGCATAGGGGATCTTCAAGCCATGGTATCCATTTGGACCAGGGGAAGTAAGGGCAGTTCCTTCTGACATTGTACCAATGGAACTGCATCTGTAGGTACGCAAAGGAGTCCAACCGGTATCAGTGCTTCCTACACGTCTTGGCTTCCCTCTTTCCCTCCGGCGTCTCAATACAACTACTCCAGCTAGTAACACAAAGCACAATACAACAAACCCCCCAATGACTGACCCTATCAAAATCCAAATTCTTCTCTTCTTAAGTCCTGTACTTTCGAAATCCACAAAGTTCTTTATACTCATAATTTCAACTCCATTTAGAATAGCATTCTTCCTCAGAGAATTGTTCAAATCAGAGGGACCAACACTGATCCTAATCGAACCTGAATGACCAGAATCAACTACAAAATCTAAGTAGTACGGCGAAGCAAGAGCGTGAAAAGTCAGTGATGACAAGTCCAAATCTTTGTAAGCCACGACATCGTTGATATATACATTGAAATACAACTGATTCAGAGCAAGGCTAACAATGTCACAGAAATGCAAGCGAACAAAATGCAAAGCATCACCCGGTCCTACGGGAAAATCCCATGTTATATTGAAGTTATATACTGTGGACACATTATCCTTATTCATTTGCTGGGCAGTCATATATACGTTGTCAGGAGCAATCTCCTCACTGGCACCACCCGGTTGGTAATTTGGTGAATGAGTGGCTGTAGCAATCTTAGCAGCAGATTTCAGGACAAGAAAATCCTCGTCCGGAATCCATGTCCTCCAAAGTGTATCATTAAAAGGTGTCAATTTTAGGCCTCCAACATTAATCCTATGAACTGTTTCCAGGACTAATGATGATATATTCTGACTGAACCCCTTAACCCCTTTATTAGGAACAATCAAACTAGTGGAAACACCGTCAACAAAGAAGTTTATAGGTGCTGAAAACACTTCAATTGCACTAACGAATGCAAAAATGTTCTGTTCTTTGCTGGGCACAAAAGAAACTTCAAGCTCAACACTATCTACTTTAATGATGAACTCCTTAACAACAGTAACACCAAAATCCTTGGCACCAAAATTGCTCAACAGTGGAACCCCATTAGCCAAAACACTGAAATTCGAGTTATTGAAATCAAACTGCGGAGAACTGAATGGGGAGAAATGGAAACGTACCAAGTGAGTCCCGAACTTCTTGATACCGAAACCATAGCTTGAAGAAGTAGTGAAAATCCGGGTTGTACTGTACAGAGGTGATGACTTTGAACTGGGATTTCTCAAGGAAATTGAATTACTTTTTGAAAGAAGGGCTAATCCGGGTTCAGCAGAATCGCCAATGAACACTCTGTTGTCCACTGTGGTGTTTATGGTTGATCCACAGTTAATCAAGTAGTTATCTTGAGGTACAAATTCTGCAACAAGGTGGCCAATGCAGTAGAGAGCTGTTAAGTAAACAAACCAAATCATTTTGGTTTCAATTTAGAGTGAAAAAAAGATGAAAATTTTGGGAATTTCATAGAGGTAAATTGAGCCCAAAAATTGGGTACATTTTTACTGATAAAAAAGGAAGAATTTGTGGCCTTCGGGAAAAGCTAGAAGAAGCAAAAGAAGAGAGAAAAAATGGTAAAGAAGAAAGAGTTTTTGATGGGGGAGCAAAAGTGCTTTGTGGAATTATATGCTGAAGTTTTTCAAGGGCTTGGAGCCTTGGACGGTTGGACCACTCAAAGTTGATTTACAGCTGAAAAATAATGCTACATTTATTGAACTTTTTATAGTATTATCATTTTCAGCTGGAGAATATGGAAAGCAGTAAGGAGACAGGTTGATCGTCACCTTTTGATTTTGGTTATTCGCTTTTTTTTTTCTTTTTTTTTTGTCTAATGAAAGACAGACATCATAAGTAATGAACCATACAACTTTTTTTGACATTTAATTACTATATAATCACATATAAACTTCTAAATCGAATACAAATAATATTGAAACAAATTGCATGGGTCATAATAGACTAAAATGTCCAAATGGTCCCTTACATTTGGGTCTACTTGAATTTACGTCATTTACATTAACATTTCAATATCGTAGTCCCAAACATTATGTTTTCACACTTTTTGGGTCTCATTTCACTGTTTTCGGCCGTTGACGTACTGGAATCAGGGGTATTTTTGTCTTTTAATTTAATTTAAATTTTTATTAAAATTTAAATCACTAAAAGTATTTTAAAATTCAAATTTCATTATTTAATTGTTAAAATATTATTTATTAATTAAAAATATTATTGTACAATTTTAAAATTTATCATTATTTTCAAAATTACTTTTTTTATTTACTATTTACTTTAAGTATACAGTAAATAGTAATTATGTTGTACTTTTAACTTTGGACTCACATTAACTTAAAAAATTAACCAAGTTTCAGTAAATAATTCAAAATTCAATTATTTTTTTTAAAAAAAGAAAAATAAAAAGCAAAACTAAGATTTTTTTTACTCCGACTGCTACAGTAAACCCTAAATGGTAATTATAGTACACTTTTAACCTTGTACCCACTGTAACTTAAAAAATATACCGAGTTACAGTAAATAATTCAAAATTTATTAAAAAAAAAAGAAAAAACAAAATCAAGATTTTTTTACTTTGACCGCTACAGTAAACCCTAAATAGTAATTTTAATACACTTTTAACCTTGGACTCACTGTGACTTAAAAATTTACCGAATTACAATAAATAATTCAAAATCTAATTTTTTTAAAAAAGAAAAGAAAAGGAAAAATCACGATTTTTTTTACTCTGACCGCTATAGTAAACCTTAAATGGTAATTATGTTGCACTTTCAACCTTGGACCTACTGTAACTTAAAAAATTTATCAAGTTACAGTAAATAATTCAAAGTTTAATTTTTTCCAAAAAAAAAAAAGGAAAAACCAAGATTTTTTTTACTCTGACCGCTACGTTGAGTTAAAAAATTTATCGAGTTACAGTAAATAATTCAAAATTTAATTTTTTTTTAAAAAAAGGAAAAAACAAAACAAAGTAATTGACCGCTACAGTAAACCCTTATGTTGAACTTTTAACCTTGGACCCAATGTAACTTAAAAAATTTATCGAGTTACAGTATATAATTCAAAATTCAACTGTAGCAGTTAAAGTAAAAAAAAAATCTTGGTTTTGCTTTTTCTCTTTTTTTTTTAAAAAAAAATGAATTTTGAATTATTTACTGTAACTCGATAAATTTTTTAAGTTATAGTAGGTCCAAGGTTAAAAGTGTAACATAATTATCATTTAGGGTTTATTATAGCGGTCAGAGTAAAAAAAATGGTTTGGCTTTTTCTTTTTTTAAAGAAATTGAATTTTGAATTATTTACTCTAACTCGGTGAATTTTTTAAGTTACAGTGGGTCCAAGGTTAAAAGTGCAACATAATTACTATTTACTTTGACCTAAGATAAATGATAAATGAAAAAATTAATTTTGAAAATAATGTAAATTTTAAAATTTTGAAAATAATATTTTAACAATTAAATAATGAAATTTGAATTTTAAAATACTTTTAGTGATTTAAATTTTAATAAAAATTTAAATTAAATTAAAAGACAAAAATACCCCTGATTCCGGCATGTTAAAGGCCGGAAACTGTGAAATGGGACCAAAAAAGTGTGAAAACATAATGTTTGAGACTACGATATTGAAATGTTAATGTAAGGGACGTAAATTCAAGTAGGCCCAAATGTAAGGGACCATTTGGACTTTTTAATCGTCATAATAAATCTACTTGCAACAGATTCAGCAGCTAGTTTTTGCCTGTACAATTGTGCTAATAGAAATATGCAGTTAACAAACACACTGTTAACATCATAGATGAAACCTTGAACCTCCATTGGATTTTCATGTTGAAAGTGAAATTCCACCTATTTTATTAATTTAATAATTTGTATCTTGCCGACTTGAAAGTGTATAGCGGCAAACAGCTATAATGAAAGAACAACAGTGGCTTTGACTTAATGAGCCACAACAACAATGTGTAATGTCTATAGCACTACTCATAACACTGAAATGATGATGAAGCTGATATACAACTTGGAAAAAAGCAAAGTGAAGCCACGATATTTTTTCCCGGTATAAATAAAAAAGGCAAAATGACTGGATTAAGCAATCTAATTAGTTACTCCCCATCTTTATTATAAGACATTTTAATTTTTTCTAGATTTTATTTATTATTGTGCTCTTCTAAATAAAAATAAAATTATAAAAATACATATTGTGTTTTACCAATTATTGTTAATCATCTTTAAGGTTTCGTTTTCAATTGGAATAACACAATAAATAAAACTTATGAAAAACCAAAATTTGAAAAAGTATCGAATAGTACTAGAAAGATTACGTCGATTTCGTAAAATATTTAAAGTTGTAACTTTTTCAGGTGATTGTGTATTATAATGTTATCGATTAGCTAGAAACACAAAATAACTCCTCCAAAACGATGCTGTTGTTTCCTCTTGATCAAACTTATCACACTGTTTATTGTCAGCCTCCGCCGTAAGCCGATGTAACCCTAACTCGATGGCTAATCACCATCAACCTATGAAATAACCAAATGTGCTCTAGACTCTAAACTCTAGAGCCGCGGTTTCTTCTTATAAATCTATAATGGAAGACATTTGGTTGATAGCAACGGCATTTTAATTTGGCACCGTTTGATTATATTCATTTTCAAACTCATTATCCATATGGGGCCCTAGATGTCCTGAATAACGGATACAAGTTTATTTGATCATGATTAAAGCCTTGCTGAAATTGCCAAAATATTGCTTGCTAATTAATGTCTAGCTGTATATCAATTCACATATTAAAATTGCTTCTTCTATGACATTTTCTTGGGTATGAGAGAAAGAAAGAATTTTTTTTTTTAATAATGACTAGAGTTTGTACAAATAAAAGTTCATTTTTTTTAAAAAAATTCATTTTTAAAGGACTTAAGAGAAGCGAAAATTGGCCTCTTTCTTCCTTTATTTTTTTTCCCTTAAAACATTTTACTACAAAATTTTATATAATCTTTCGGTGAGTGACGATTAATACTTGTAAATCAAATTTTTTTTCCAAAAAAAACAAATTAGATAACTCCAGCAAAAAATCAAACCCTCTCATCCAAAATCAATATTTATGCTAATAAACACCGTGTTCACGATAGTTATATCACAGCGGAAAAACATATATTAAAAAGTAACATAAGAAATATCTTTGGATCCATTCGATTCTAAAATCTTGTTCTTCAACAGAGAGTTTCGATTAATCAAACTCTTGAAATTTTACAATGAGGAAGAGTTGCGTCTCTCCTGAGAAGAGAAATGGTTATATCGACCCTTGTAAAAAGGAAACTATCTTCACTAAAAAAGGATAACATATTCATGATAATATCACCAGTCACCACACAACAAAAACAATCTACACTTATGGTGTGTGTGTGTGTGTGTGTTTTTTTTTTGTTGTTCAGTAGTATTGTTTTTTTTTTCTTTTCTTTGTTATTTTAAAAAAATTACCATTACAACAAACTTTTTACTCTCTCCGTTCCAAAATTATTGTACAGTTTGAACTTTCATTTTTAATTCAAATTGCACTAAAGGTAAAATCTCAAATTGAAAAATAATTTTGAAAGGAAGAGAGTATATTATAAAAGAAAGAAAAACACATGCACACTGACCAATCAAAATAAACGGAAGTAGTTCCATGGGATTGACTATGTTGAAGAAACCCTAAGCAAAACCAACATCCAAAATAGAGAGGTTAAAACTAGAATTATAAACTTTGCTAGTTTGATCCTATACCCCTTCAAAGGCTTTAACATTTCACCTTTATAAAAGTGCAACATGATGCGATTATCATATTACATTATGCAATCTAATTAACAGAATTTTGTAATTTTTGTAGTTGTAAACACAAATTTTCAACTGAAAAATCAAAAGATAGTGATAGAGCTCAAATTTTCAATGAAACCAAAATCCAAAATAGTCGTTATCAGTGAAACTCAGATAACATTAACATAATAGTTTTCGAGCACGCAATTAGGATTATCATTAGGTTAGAAAAGTTAAATACATCATTGAAGTCAGAGGGGTCTTTTCCCTAAAAAAAATTCTTTAAAATAAGAGTGGACGAATTTAATTTTTTTAAAATATATGTGGACATATATATTCTCTGAATTTCACAAATCCGAAAGTCTATTAAAATTAAATCTTCGGATTTCACAAATCCAAATGTTAAATAATATTAAAATAATAAGTATTTACATTTTGTGAAATACAGTCAAAAAACTCAGAAAATGAACAGTACACTTCGGAATTGTAAAATCCGAATTCAATAAAATAAAAAAATACATAAAGAAAATTGAGGCGCGAAATTTTTGAATTTCAACTCCGGAATTTATTTAATCCGGATTACGGAATTCGGATTTCCGAAATCCGACTATATTAAATTTTGGTCGGTGGAAGTAGGCATCTGTCATAAGTTGGAGGACAAAAAATAGAATTAAAAATCCGTAATTGACTAAACTCAGATTTCTGGAATCCGAGCTTCGTAGGATTCGATTTTTAAAATCCGAACTACTTACTCATTCGGATTTCTGAAATCCGAGTTTAGCATGATATAAATGAAAAAAAAAGACAGTTCTCATTCGAGAACTGAATTAGATTTTCTGTTTCTGTGGATCTTGGTTGGCGAATTGAAGTTTTTGAAGCAACCTTACCGCTAGATACATGTGGATCGTTATTTGAAAGAGGTTAGATTGCAAAACCATGTTAGTTAGTTTATTTTTGTATTA